GGCGTCGGTGACGGGAGCGGGGGCGGAGATGGGGGAGCCTGGGGGAGACACAAATGTGCGACTGCAGCATCCTCACTCCCATGGCTGCATCCCTCGCGCCTCCTCACGGTTGCCTTGGCAACCTCCTATCGATGGGGTATTTATAGAGGATGGGAAGCCGGAGGGGGGGACCGGGAATGGGTGGGCGTCTGCTGGGTCAGCCTCCAGCTTCAGGCTTCTCTCAGCCTGCGTGGCTGTGTGGGGGCGGGAGGGATGCTGCTCCCCTTGGCGTCAGCGTGTGTGGTGCTCCAGCTTTTCCTGCTCGCAGGAGCCGGGGGAGGTGGTTGAGGAATTTGCATGTGGAAATAAAAATAAGTGTCTGGGATGTGTGCCCTTCTCACCAGCGTTGCTCGTGCTTCTGGGCTTGTGTGGACCTGCCTTATTGTTTGCACTTGGAATAAACCACCCCTGAGCTCTGACGCTGGGAGCGTTGACACAGATGCTTGGAAAAAACTGAAAGACTGTAAATTAAATGAAACTACGTTAAATTTTTTGCCTGATGAATGATGTGGGTTATGGAGCCGGGGATCCCGACAGATCCGGTCTTGAATATCCTCATTTCTGTGTCTCTGTCCTCCTGTCCATCATAGAGGGGGAATGCCCATGACAGCGAGTGTTCGTGTGGGAACTGTGGCATGTTCTCTGCGCTGTCCCTGCTTTTATCCTGGGGGTTTGGATCTCTTTTTAAAAACTGATGACAATAAAAGCGGGTCAGGTGGTCCCTGCTTAGAGCTGACACATCCTGCCGGGGAATGCATGAATCCAGGGGTCTGTGGGGGAATCCATGCATCTGGAGGGCAGTGGGAGAATACATGAATCTGGAGGCCTCTCACATCTTCCAGGAGGGCTCACAGAAGCAGGGCTGGGCTGGGGGGCATAGGAGGCAGCAGACCCCTCCTGTGCAGTCCTGATGCTCTCCTGCTTTCTCTCATTCTTGCTTCAACTCCAGACTGAGGTTTGCAATCTGAACTTTGCAAACTGTTGGGAGGAAGCTGCTTTCTCCCTCTGGAGACAGGTCCAGGCTTGCTTGCCCTTTTGCCACTTACGGTGTAGGAACCTTGGAAACCACGGGAAACCTGATGTTGGCAGAGAGAGGTGCTCCATTTACTGAAAGGTGGCTGTTGTGACGTGTGGTGCTGCCTGCTGTGATGGTGTGTGGCACCAGCCCCTCTGTGTGTGTGAGTGCCTGACTTTTATGTGGGAGGAGAGCTGTGTTTCCAGCCCTGCTGACCCCGTGGATGGCTCTGTGCTGTCCCTGGCCTCGCTCCTGCTGAGCGGACCCAAGGGCTTTTGGAATAACTGAGTATCTGAAGTCCTGGACCTGAGACCAGCATGTGGTTTAGTTCCTGCTGTTTCTAACTGTGTTTGCTCCTTCATCCACAATAGATCACTGTAGGAGCTGTCTCCTGACAGAGTGGTGGCTTTGCCACAGCAAGATGTCACACGAAGTGAGGCTTAGCCCAGGGTTGTCTGATCCATGGGGAATTGAGCACAGGGAGAAGGCAAAGCATGAAAAACAAGTAGATGACACTCCTTCTGCAGGCAGAGAGGAGTATCCTCTCCTTCTGCAGGGCTTTACTTCACTCTTGTGGGGTTTTGTTTACTATAGTTTTGCTCTTTAAGCGAAAAAGGTGCTTTTCCAGCTGGAGAGCTGCTGTCCTGGGCATGCAGGGAGCTCTGTCACTCTTGCTGTTGCCCTTACAGAGGCCCAACAGCCTTTAGGAGATGCATGTCCTTTTCTTTCCTGCTGTGTAGTCAGCTTGATGGCAGTGGAGCAAACTGTGTGGCCCCATTTATTGCAGACTGTGGGTAGGAGTTGCAGGAGTGAGAACTGGCACGGCTGTGACATTGCTCTAAAACAGGATGACTGCTTTACCTGTATCCATCAATCTCTTGTAGAAGGGAAGAGCACCAGGCTGTTCCCAACAGCTTCTGACACGGCAGGTCATCGTGTCTGCTGATGAGAAATGTGATCTCTCCTTCATCCAGTTCTTCCCTTCCTACTTTGCACTGGGCTGCTTGGGCAGGGCCAGTGGGCTGGGCCCTGGTCCTCCCTGGGCTCCCAGCACTCCAGGAGCTGAGGGTCCCTGAGCCCCTCCAGCCATGCAATGAGTGGGGAGGCAGCTGGAGTCCTTGGCTCTCTGCAGGGGCACTGCTTGCTTAGCTGGGATCTGTCCTGGGTCCACCAGTCAGCACCCTGCTTTCTGCATGAATCTGACTCTGGGTGATGGAGGTCTTGGGCTTTAGGGGGTGATTTAATCTGTCAGTGACTGTCCCGTTTTCTTCCCTGCAGGTAGGCAGGAGCCCCCCGTGGCCGAGTGAGGCAGCATGGCAAGTAAGTGCTCCCCAGGCAAGATGGAGAGGTGGCAGTGGTGCTGGAGAGGAGAAGGGGGATGTTTGGCAGCCATCTCTCAGGGAAGGGGGTGCCTGTGCTTTTTGGGGGGTGTTATCCTCTATGGGGAGCTGATGCCATCAGCTGTTACCCCTGGATGAGGTCTGAGGTCCGGCCTGACTTGTGCTTCTCTCTCTCCTCTGCAAGGTGGGAGTCGAGAGGAGGTGCTGAAGGTCTGACCTCTCTGGGACTACCCAGAGGCCACAGCATTTCTTTCTGTGTGTGGTGCTTGCTGTGCAGGACGGGCCTCCCCGAGGCTCTGTGGGCTGACCGGCCCCTCCGCAGGGGCTGCCGGCCTGCTCTGGCACCTCCCAGCAGCAGAGCTGCCACCCCACCAGTGCCCACCCCGGGGGCCACACTGCCCTGGGGCCTGTGTGCTGGTGGCACTGGGGCTCTGTGTTCCTGTGGACGTGGCACCCCCAGAGGAGTGCCTGGACAGCAGGGCTGAGGCTGGCGAGGGTGCAGGGTGGAGGATGGCGTGTGGGCTGTTCAGAGCCGGGCTCAACCCTCCCTCCTCGCTCTCCTGGGCAGCCTGTGTGGAGGCTGCGTGCAGCGTGTGCTGGGAGCTCAAGGAGCATGGCAGTAGTGAGTGGAGAGACACAGAGATCTGTCTGGGATCTCAGGATTTGCTCGGAGTGTCGCCGGAGCCAGCGGTGAAGGTGGAGGCAGTGTCCATGCTGAGGAGGACGAGGAGGACCCCAGGGATGACAGGTATGCCTTCTTTCATTATGTGTGCTGTGCTGGGTGGGGGAGGGAGCAGAGATCTTCAGGCAGTGTTTTTAAAAGGCTACTTTAATCTCCAGTTAATGAGGAGGGTGCCCAGCTGGGTCCCTGCCTTCCTGCACTGCTGCCTTTTCTCCCTCCCAGAGCTCAGGGGCTGGCTCACCAGCATTTCCTGGTTGTGGAAGGTGTCCCCAGTGGTGGCAGTGTCCCCTGCCAAGTCAGCCCTTCACGGTGACCCTGCTGTGCAGGAGGGGGATGTGGTGATGAGCCTGTTCCCCATCACATGCTGTGCAGCAGCGAGCAGCCCCGTCTGTCCCTCTGCAGGCACAGCTGCGTGTCCTTCTCCAGAGAAACAGCCCTGGGGGGTCCCCAAGCTGGGCAGCCGAGATGTGGGCTGGTGTCCTCCAGGGGCCATCAGCAGCCCAGGAAAACCAGCAGGGATGAGGTGAACCCAGCCCTCAGTCCTACTTCCCCCGCCTAAAACTCTGATCTTTCCTGAGCACCGGTTCTCCAGCTGGTGTGGGGAGACTTGGAGAGGCACAGGGGGTCAGTGCTGAGGGTGCTGGGCCTTGGGAAGTCCCCTCAGCCCTGGGGCTTAGGGACAGGACCTGCTCTGCTGTCTGCTCTTCATGTCAGTTGGGGATCCAGGTTGGGGATGAGAGGCTCTTGTTTCCTGAAAGCCTCTGTGGCTTTCCTGCTCTGGTCCCCAGGCACGTGGGAGCTCTTTGCACTTTCCATGTAGCAGAGGAGAGGGAGCAGTGACTTAGTTTCTGCTCTCCTGCCATTTGTAGGAAATTGCATGTGGGGAGAGACACACCCCTCTGTCACAGCATGCTTGGAGTTGGGACACTGCTCGTGATACCTGCCTGCCTGTGTGTCTGTTTTTATTTCCCACCATAGTGGCCAGTTCAGCACAGCAAAGCAGGGAAGGGGTCAAGTGACCGGTGTCTGCAGGGATGGAAAGCCCTGACAGTGAGATCTGCAGCCAAGCTTGTTGCTCCAACGTGTGCTGAGGAAGTTGGAAAGAGTCTCAGGCTCAAGTGCTGAGGAGGGGAGAGTTCACACCGCAGCCTGATCAAGGTGGGAGGCAAAGGAGGTGAGGCCAGACTTCTCCAGCAAAGGATGGGACATTTGCAGAATGGGTGCTGTCTCTGTAAAATTTCATCTTCTTCTGGAAAGGCTCAAGAGGAGGTCGGCCTGACAGCCTGCTCTCTCTCCAGCCAGGATAACCCTCCTCAACTGTGAAAGCCAAGGCAAGCTGATCCCTGCCTGCCCTTCTGTGAGATGCCTTCTGTGCCTCTTGAAAATGCTTTTTCGGTTTTCCTTGTAAAAAAACAAAAAAAAAACAAAAAAAAAAAGGTTTGCATAATAAAGTCGATTCTGAGGGAAGATCTGTGACTCACATCATTCATGCTGCTCTTCATTCACACCTCAGTGGTTCAGCCTTCTGCAAACTCTCTCACTGAAGCAAGGCATTAATAAATCACGAGGGGAAAATGCACCTACACAGCACAAAAGGAGCACAGTGCCTCCAAGCCCAGGATGGTGTAGCACAGCAGTAGTTGCCTCTCACACCATGATCTCATCCCTGTTGATATTTACAAATACTCTCACAAACACCTTGCTGTATTGTTTTAGGAGCAGGATATGTGGAAGGTAAAGCAGAAGGAAAACTGCCTTTCTCCCTGGCAAAAGGCTCCTAAGGAAAGAAGTTGGTAGCTTTCCACTGACTGTTGTGTTTGATCTTCACTGAGATCCTTGTTGAAGGAGTATTTCTGTGTTAGCACCAAGCTGGTCACATGGGAGACTCTGTGTGTCCCCCTGCCTCCTTTTCCTGCATCTTTGATGCTGCTGCTCTGTGAATTAGTTCACCTTGTTGATCCAATGGAAGACTAAGCCTGAGGGTGAAGGAGGTAAATATGTTCCTGTGGATCAGCCAGCTGAACCAATTCATCTTTCTCAAGGGAAGCAGCATGATTTTGTGGCGTGGTGGGAAGAGATAGGGTCAGCCTACAGCTGAGTGTGTTGAGCTGCATTGTGGAAACACTCACTCCTGAAATGTGTGCATGGGATGTTTGGATCCTGGGAGGATCATGTTTTGTGTGAAGTTTCTGCTTTCTGGGCAACAGCTTGTTTGCCTCCTGTGCTGCTGCAGGTCCTGGTAGGTGCCTGCCTGCTGTGCCCCATGGGGGTCTCCTTCCTGCAGAATATGTGGGGAGGGGCTTTGATGTCTCTCTCGCAGGCAGGAAGGTGCTCTTCCTGCTCACTCTGGCTTCCTGACTGCATGCTCTGTGGGAACACCTGAGGGATCTCCCAGGCTTTGGGAGCAGAGGAAGATTTGTGAGGCCTCTGCACCAAAACACAGTAGGGATGAGAATGTGATGAGAGGAGAGGTTGTTCAGGCCCCCCTCAGTACCTGAGTCATGACCCCCTGTACTGTCCCCGTATGTTGGGGATGTTTGCTCTTGTTGGCCTGGGAGAAGACACAGTGGTTTCTCTAGGACCTGAGCAGAGTCCTTGAAGCCACCTGAGCCTGCATGACCCCTCAGCAGCTGGCAGCAGGGCCAGCAGCTCCCAGCAGGCTGTCGCGCAGTGAGCTGTGTGCTGTGAGTCCCTCTCGTGCCAGAGCCCTGGCTCTCCATCCCAGCCCTGCAGGGTCTCCCTTGCCTGGTGGGATCTCCTTTGCAGCAAAGAGGCAGAAAGGTGAAGTTCATCACGGGCAGGAGGTTGACAACAAGTATTTTTGGAACCTTCTGTCGCTTCTTCAGTTGCCCTGTGTGGCTGCAGCTGCTGCTTCCAAAGTCTCCAGCACCTCAGCCCTGATGGAAGGGCTCCTGGTGCCATACATCTCTGGGCAGACCCCAAGAGCCCTGTGCCCCTCTGGGTGTGCTGTCCCACAGTGGGCACTCTGCTGTGCCACCTCATTTGTAGCCCTGGGCTTTTGGTGTTGGGAATGCCTGTAGCACCAGGAAGCCAGGTGGGAAAGCCTGGCTGGGCAGAGGCCAGGTATGGGGTTGTCCCTGCTCAGCATGTCTCTGCCTTGTGTGTTGCAGTGTTCTTGGGGGCCAGGAATGCCCACTCGGTCCTGAAACGCTTTCCCAGAGCCAATGGCTTCCTGGAGGAGATCCGTCAGGGCACCATCGAGCGGGAGTGCATCGAGGAGGTCTGCAGCTATGAGGAGGTCAAGGAGGTGTTTGAGAACAAGGAGAAGACGGTGAGTTTGTCCTGCCCTGCTCCCCAGTGGATGTGTGAGGGCTCACACTTCAGCAAGCTGGAGACAGAGAGGGAAAGCACAGGGGGAACAGCCTCTCCTGTTCCTTTTGTCCTCTTCTGTCTGCAGGCAGCATTCTGTGGCCTCACTTTCCTGCATGGCTTTCCCTTCCTAGGCCACTGCCTTGGTTGTGCCAGGACACCCCGCCCACAGCTGCAGGTCAAGCTGGCACTCCCATGGCACCTGGGAAATCTGTGCTGTTGTCCCTGACTCTCCAGCCTGGGGTTGGTGTGAGCTAAATTTCTCCCTGCTTGATGTGGGGGCTGTTGGCCACTGTTGAGGGATGTTCCCATGACCACCTTTGTTGGTTCCTACAGCACCTCAGGCGAAAGTGGTGGGGGACATCCGAAAAGCTGCCCCTTTTGTGGGCCTGGGGAAGGCAGTGATTATTGCTGGTGGTGGTCGGGGGGTACTTCTCCCACCTGCAGCACATGATGGTTGTTTCTCTGTTCCCGCCACAGATGGAGTTTTGGAAGGGCTACACCAACTCCGTCTACTCTGTCAAGGACCCTGGGCACAGCACGGAGCGCTCTGACGCCATGTATGTGGTGGTGCCCCTGCTGGGAGTGGCCCTTCTGATAGTCATCGCCCTCTTCATCATCTGGAGGTGCCAGCTTCAAAAGGCCACCCGCCACCGCCCTTCCTATGCCCAGAACCGGTACCTGGCCAGCCGGACGGGACGCAGCCTGCCCAGGGTCATGGTGTACCGGGAGCGCTCCCAGAGCCAGGGGGAAACCCAGTACCAGCGGGAAGCCAGCAACCGGGGGGCTGGAGACGGCAGAGCTGGGGGCACCCCCCCCCAGCAAGACAACACCCTCTGCCTGCCAGAGCACTCGGTCTCCATCCTCTCCAGACTGTCCAGTGCCACCCCCCCGCCTTCCTACGAGGAGGTGACGGGCCACCCGGAGAGCAGCAGTGGGGAGGAGACCAGCGTCTCCTACAATGACCCGCCGCCCAAGTACGAAGAGATCGTGGCCACTGCCCCTGCCACGGGCAAATAGCGGGTCTGCCTCCCTCCTGCCTCTTCACACACTCACACCCACCCACCCGCCCTCCCTTCGCCGTGCCTGGGACCCCTCCCGGTGTCTGTCGGGCCCCCGCCTCACCTGTACAAGCTGGTGCCATCACACAATAGCCTTACCCTCCTAACCAAAAATAGCTGTCCCCAGGTGGGGTGAGGCTGGGCTGTGGGGGTGGCTCTGGAACCAGCCAGCCATCTCCTGCCCCTCACTCCCCACTCACGTAAGTGCTGTAGCAGCCAGAGCCGAGCAGCAGCTTGTTCCTGGCTCAACGCGGGGGTCTCCCCATGGTGCATTTGATTCCCTCACTTCCCCCTCGAGTAGACATAACATTTCCCATGATTAGAACAGCCTCGCTGCCTCCCTGGGCTGCTGCCCAGCCTTGCCCCATGTCCCCACTGGGCTCTGTTCTGCTCAGGGCTCTGATAAGGAGTTGGGGATGCAGGATTGGTGTGGCAAACCTCTGTCCATCCTCACAGTTGGTGTCCACGCTCTCTGTTTGGGGAGATGGTTCTTCCCCTGTGTGGATTTGTTGCCAAGTGGGAGTGGGGAGCCCCGTCCATACTCTGGTGCCTGTAGCAATATTTGCTGTCTGGAGATCAGGGAGGAGCAGTAAGGAAGGTGTTCTCCTAGATCCCTTTGAAAAGGGGAAAGGCTCACGGTGGTCTTGTACCTGAGGTAAGTGGCTTTGGAGCAGCAGAGTCTTTTCCTGATGCTCTCTGCTTTCCCCCTCTGGCTTGCTGGGCAGCTGGAGGTCTGGCTGTGGCAGAGCTGGCCAAGAGGGTCATCTCTGATCCCAAGCCAAACATGGTCCCACGGCTTTAAGTGGTGAGGATGCTCCTTTCTCCTGGAGCGTGGCCTGCCTGGTGTCTGCCCCAGAGGTGGGATTCTGGCACAGGGAGCCTGCGGACAGGCCAAACCTCCCCTCTCCCTCCCCCAGTCCGCCCTGCCTGACCCCTCTCTTTGGGGTGCTTTCTCCTTCAGATCAGGTAAAGGGGAATGTGAGTACCCACTCTCCTGGCTCCTCTGGTGGGCAGAGTGCTCGGTGCCCAGGGCTGTGGATGGGGGGCTTGCTGACAGGGATGGGAGCCATGAGACCATGCCTCAACCTGGCCATGCCAGGCAGGAGCAGGGCCAAGCCCTGCCTGGGTGATTGTGGAGCCAGGGCAAGGCAGAGCTGGGTGCTTTGCTGTGGGACCAGAGTATCCCTTTTTGCTGGGCAGCTGCCTTTGGGGTCCAAACAACGGGGCTGTCCTTTCCCAGTCATGTCTGATGGATTAAAATGGGGGTTGTGCTCACCAACTCCCCAGAAACTTCCAGCACTGCCACCACTCGGTGTTCACCCCAGCACCAGTCTCTCCACCAGCACCAAAAGGCTATTGTCCATCCATTGCAGGTGGCCTGCATACTGCTCGGTCCCAGTGATGCTCTCGCAGCAGGTGCCCTCAGCCCAGAGCTGAGACTTGCCCAGCATGGCTTTCCTGGGGCAGGACATGCTGGCACCTTGTCTGTCCCCTCCCCAGCCTTAGCAAATCAAGGTTATGGGGAGACCAGAGCCTGTAAAAGACCGGAGGGAGACAGCAGGGCTCTCTGCATCCTCTGTCTTTGATGCTCAGTCATTATCCCTGCAGTTTGTACTCTGTAAAACTTGGTATATTTCTGTGCAAAAAAAAAAAGGTATTTATTAAAAAACCCTCACTGTATAACGGCACAGGGTGGCTTTTTCCCACAGAGGGTGTCGTGGTTTATACCCAACTGCCAACTCAGCCCCACACATCCACACAGTCCCCCCTCGGTGGGATGGGGGAGAGAATCAGAAGAGTAAAAGTGAGAAAACTCGTGGGTTGGGATAAAGACGATTTCATGAGTAAAGCTCTGCATGCAAGGAAGGCAAAAGAAGGAATTCATTCACCACTTCCCACGGGCAGGCAGGTGCTTGGCCATTCCAGGTCATCAGGGCTCTGTCACACATAGCAGTGACTTGGGAAGACAAAATGCCATCACTCCAAACATCCCCCCCTTCCTTCTCCCCCAGCACAGGGGGAATGTCTCACTGGGCACAGCTGGATTTCCATCCTGGGGGGTGCTGGGGCTCAGCTCTGTAAGGCAGCCATGGCAGCTGTGGGACAATGGATGACACCAATACCCTCCACTACGGCACAGGACAGTCCCCAGGGAGGATGGGAGGGTCTCTGGAGAAGGAATGTGTGCTGCTGTGGGGCTGGGAATGAATCCCACGCATCCAGCCAGAGCCTTGGACTTCCCTGGACATGTGTGCACTTCTGAGTGAGAGCTGGAGGGTGTCCTATGAGCCCCGACCAGTGGGCAGGTGAGGTGCAGAGGGTTTTCCTAAGGTCTTTGAGGGGACTGAGGTGCACAGGTTGTCCTGCTGTACCTCTCTGTGCTCCTAAACCCCTTAGATAATCCCCTTTAAATAGCAAGACTAGGGCAGCGGGGGATTTATTTTAAGTCCTTTCAAACCCAGATTTTACGGTCAGGTCTTGGACCCTGTCCCCATTCAGAAGTGTTTAAAACTGTCTTTAATCCCAAACGGATCATTTTA